ACAGTCTCCCTGGGCATAAGTTCTGTGTGAAAGAGTTTTTCTGCTAGATAGCTATGTAGCTTTCATTTTCAGGCATCTTCTCAATATTGTTTTCGGCAGGGCAAGCTGTGGTTTGCCCAGGGTCTGGCCTGTAACTGGAGCTGCATCTGGTGCTCCTGGGAATGCCAAGCCTTGCTTCTGATCTGGAATGCTAGAGAGCCCATATAAAGCTATTGAAGTCTGTGTGAGGTTTTTTTATTCCTCATTACCAACCTGATAGAAAGATAATTCCTCAGCTGCTGTTCCAACCTGTGGGATTTTACCCACTTAATTAATTTTCTCTCTTGTTAAAGAAGATCTCTTTTTATGCACAAGGAGCTGTGCTTGACTTGCTTTTGAGGGACTCGTCTCATGTCTATATCAAAGGCATCGAGGCCCCAGAAGCTGGAGTGTGAGCCCTAGGGGCAGCGTGACTGTGGAGGCTAAACTTGGAAGCTTTGCTTTGTATGCTGATGGTAAACTCCTGGCGGGGAGCCAAGTCTACACATCTAGAGGCACCCTTCTTCCCTTCCCAGCTCCCCCCTTTTGCCACCGCTCAGCAGTAAAACGGAAGCTGGTGACACAACCAAAGGGTGCCAAAGTGCATGCCGAATGCCTGCTGAAGATTAAAGATGCCAGCCTACACCACCCTCTCCAACCTTTCAGCTTGTCAGTGAGCTGTCTATGTAGATAAATACACATATCAAACAATAAGCAGATGCCTTTTTAATATGCACTTTCAGCTGCGATATTCCTGCCTGGTGCAATTCATCTCAGCATCTGTCAAGTTAATGCCAACTCCGCAGCTCCCTTTCAGTTGTATTTAATGCACAAAGATTTGTGTTGTGGTAAGTGTAAAATAGAATGAGGAATTGGCTTGTTTTGCATCTATTTTGGTGTTACCCATAATTTATAAAATGTTAAATGTGAACACTTCTGTGTTCCTCCTCATCTCTGTGTCGGTATATAGTCCAGACTCTTGTTCCTTATGCTGATTAAGTGGTTTTATACAAGCATGTGTATGTAGAAGTATACAGGAATGGGGGGAAAAAAAAAAGTCCTTTGCAAAAAATAGCACTATTGGTGCCCCACAGTGAACAAATAATGAAGTGGAGAGGAAGCTTTGGTCAGAGTTATATTAAAAGAAAGTAAAACCCTTATTTCAGATGAGTGTTGTATTCCCTAAATCAAACCGAAATCACGATCCACAGAGGCTAAAGCCTTAGAGCAGTGTTGTAGACACCCAAGAACCACTGTGCTGCGTCAGATCTTCTCTAATCCAGGGTCTTACCTCCAATGGTAGCCAGTAGTAATTAGAGAGAATATAAAACCAGGGCAACTAATCAGGAGAATTTCTGCATTAAGCTTTTGTTTATTTTTGTTTTCATATTAAAAACATATTGAGCTCAGATGATCTACTGGGACATCTGAGTCTCCTACTCTCCTTTTTACCTATGGGGGCTAAAGGAGGGATGACCGGAGGGAGGAGAAAACTGCTCCTTTCCCCTCTCTTTGATTGGGTGCCATAGTGCTACCACCCTGTCTGTCCTTCTGAGTTAGTCTTGGAAAAGCTCCTTGTTTTTTATTTTCCTTATTCACTTTTCACACATGCTGCTGCTTTTCTTCCAGTCAGACATTAAGGAATCATGTTAATTTAAAAAAAAAATCAGGTTGTTTAGGCAGGTAGCAAGTCTTGAAGACAGCTCTTTGTCAGGCTTTTCTGAGGTCTGCTGAGAGAAAGAAGGATATTCCTGGTGCTTGAGACAGTCTGAATTGGATTAGACAAAAACTAAGGGGGATGGGGGAAAAGGAAAGACATGATCCTCCACTGGAGAGGAGGATTTAGGTGACCTAAGATATCTTCTGTTTCTTAATGTTCCTTGAATGCGCATGATTGAAATCTCTCATTTGAGCACATATGCACACAAGATAAAATATAATATTAGCGACTGTAAATATATTAGAGCTCTCTGCTTCTGATTACAGTGGTACATCACCTGAAATAGTAACAGGGAATGGATGATTTTTGCCTACAAGGGCAGCACTGTTCCATAATGGAAAAGGAAAATTGGTGCTAAAAATGCCATTGAATCAGAATTTTGATGACTTATGGCAATTTGTGCACCTACCTGTGTCACCTTCCCATCTCATGGTTTCAGAGCACTTTTCAAATCTGAATAAATTAATCTCTCCCCCCCGCCCCCCCCCATCCCTTTGCCAAAGGCTGGAAATGACTGTCCAGGACTGCATATCTCAAGGGCTATGACTAAGTTCAATGGGTTAGATTTCTGCTAGGCAGCAGACACTTCTATCTGTGCAAAAGTATGGACATATGTGTTTTCTACAAGCAAGCATTTGCACCTCTCAGATACTTGCCCTTCCCCTGTAAAGAAACCAAGATGTGTCCTGGATGCATGTGTTTGAAATATGCTGCATTGTGTCGAGCAGGGCAGAAGCTTGCAAACAGACACAGGCATCAGGAGCAGCTCAGCTGAAAATGTGTGAATCCACTGGGGACAAGGGCAAGGAGAACCTCTACAACCTCTACTCGAGTACGTGTTTGGTGAGCCCCTGCTCTGCTCACTAGACTGTAAAGTGAACGCTGCAGGGTGCTACTAAACTGTGTCTCTCGGAGTGGGTTCAGTATAGAGTGCCCCCATGTCAGACTGAGCCCCATGCTTTCCCTGGGGATGTGTGAAATAGCACTTCTCTGAAGGAGAGCAAGGAGCTGCTGGCAGGAGGCTGATGCCAGTACGTGGCAGGGATTTCCTCTCATGTGGCCTGGTGTGACACTAGCACTGCCTAGCCTATAAGTAGTGGTATATTTTGCTGGATAGCCAAATAAACGCTAGACCAGTTCAATATGATTGGCTCCTGCAGAAAGCAGGGCAGGGCAGGGAGGCTTGAGATGTTTAGCTGCTGCTCTGTCTCTGTGTCTCACAGGGCTGCTGGATGGAGATGCTGAAAGGACCTTGTCCCTCAGCTTTTCTTTTTGACCCTGGAGGAGTTAATTCAGCTCTGTGATGCAGAGAAGGGAGTGATGCTCCAGATGTTGTGCATGTGGACAGTTGGCTTTGGATTCAGGATGCTGGAGGGACTAGTCATGGGGGAGGTTTTTAGTTATTTTTAAAAAGAGAGCAAAGAAGCAAGGTAAACCAGGACGGAGAGGAGAGCAGCAATGCTATGAAATAGATTTGTGTGGCGCCAGCTTCATATCTGAATTGGAGCTGTCAGAGGGAATGAGATCCAGACTTGGTGCTGCTCTCTGGAGAGGAGCAGTTACGGAGAGATTGTTCTGTTAAGCGCTGGCTCCTCCTCTCTCTGCCCAGGGTCTGGCTGACTTCTGCAAGGGAGGAACTGACAAGATGTGGCATGATCCATCCTCCCTTCGTGCTGGCCTTTCCTGCCTTTTTCCAGGCTCTGATTTATGTTCTTTTGCTTTCTCGCTGCTTTCACCATTTGAGCTTCTCCTACTGAAACCTTCTCCTCCTTGCTCATGTTGGTATCTTTATCCCACCCTTACCTGCCTCTCAGCTACATCACCTTGCCCTGTTTTTCATCCTCAACCTTTTTGGCTCCCTTCACTCGGCATATAGTCATGCTCCAACATCGACACAATAAACGAACAGTGTGCATATTTGCTGCATACAATACAGGATGTGTGTGCATGTATGTTTTAAATATTTAACTACCTGTAGGTTTTTTTATCCACTTCTCCATCCTTTTCCGGTCTAGAACTTACCTTCAAGGGACTCAGCATCTCCTTCTAGTGTTCCTTTCCTCTCCTGTCTTTCTTCAAGACTCTCCTCTGAAAGCCTTTCTCTTTCTGTTCTGTAGCTAGTGCTTAAGTGACTCATTTATTTAAGGGATTCACCTTTCTTTTCCTGTACGGCCTGCCTCCCTCCTTCTGAACTGTTCGAACACCTGGCACTAACAATTCAAGTTGTACTGTTGCTACAAAAGAACTCTTTATCAGTCCTCTAAATCTTCTGCTATGTTTCTGGCCTTTTCCCATTATAGAGGACAGCAGGCCTCAGCAATCCCAATTTTGCAGTCTGAAATACTTTGCATCCAGGCTGTTATCAAATTGTGCCTCTTCCTTGCTATGTATTGAAAATCTGGTCCTTTCTGTTCCAGTGCCCTACCTGGCATTGAAACCTTTCTGGGTACCCACAAATTTACTAGCCATATAACACTCTGCTGCCACCTGCATGGAGGTTGCTATACAGCTAGAGCAGTAGGAGAAGATGTAGAGCAACTCTGTTGCTCCTCTGTTGTTCTTCTGGAAATATTCCTATTCCTCCTGCTGCCTTCTGGTCAAAATTCCTTTTCTGGACAGTCTAGATAGACTGGAAAGTGAAGAGGAAGATTTTGCCTTCAATCGAGGCCTTGCCAGAGTCTTCAGGACTTCTGCCACATATTTCCCCTGACGTCAATCAGGTGTGCAAAAAACAGTTGATCTTCACCTGTGTAAGCAGAAGTGATTAGAAGCAAGGTCACAAGCTTCTCAGGCCCAGTGTTCAGGTATGCATATTTGCATATTTTGTCTTATGTATTTGTTGTTGTTTCTGACAGGTTGACCAGACTGGATCACTGTGTCAGAGACCCGAACCAAGGATCTTGACTCATGCGCATTTAATACAACTTGACTTCTTGAGGACAGCAAGTATTTCTCTGAAGGCCTGTCCCCTCAAAGTAGCACAGAGGTAAGGTGGACAGTGCAGCTAATGCTCCAGACTGATGGTGCTGGGTTATGGTCTTGCTATGGCTTGCTGCAGTGCTCTGAGCAGTTTTTTTTCCATTCATTTGTCTCAAGGGAGACTTTGTCCCCTCTGCCTGCCATATCTGTAGGGGGTGAAACATTGCGTTGTGTTTACAGCACAGGAAATTTTTTCAGCAAAAATGTCCTTTCCAAAGATCAAGACTAATCACACAGTTGAGTCAAATATAGGCAAAAAGTGTGGGGCAAGTATGATGAAAAAGGAAAATGTTACATATAAGATATTAGTAAAGAAATACTTAAACATCTTATTCTGAAATAATTCCATTTTGAAAATTATCTTAATTTTAAAAGAAAGCTTATTAAGAAAAGGAAGAAAGAAGTGTGTATGGGGGAAAGGGGTTAAGTAAGAAGTGAAAGAAAACGTTCAGGTTTTGATAGGACAAGATGTTTCAGGTCAACCAAAAATGGACAAAACCAAACAGAAAAGCCCCGTAGTTCTAATTGCAATGACTCATGGAAACCAGATCTAGAAAAGATGAGGCCCTTAGTCCAAACCCTTAATCCCCTACTAGTATGTAACATTGTTCCCTGCACTGTGTACCAGTCCTGTTTTAAATGATGTGATTTTCCGTCATCCCCTTGGGATACTATTCCACAGCCTAATAGAATTAATCTGCTTACTTCTCTTTCAACCCCTGACCACCGCAGATGCAATTAGTAGTAGGCGACAGGCGGATTCTGTTTCCCATGCTGTATTATGAAAGCTTAGGGCTGTATTGTGTTAAACCAGACATCAGTTGCAAGCGTGTGTGCACGAGTGTAACTTATCTGTCAGTACTCATTACAACCCCATAAACATCTCTGAACTACAGGTTTTCAGACTCACATGAGCTTTTCTGCAATCTTAATTCAGCATCTGATAAGGCATGGACTAATGTATTTGAATGCCTGTGAGAAAGATAGTATGACTGGAAACTAAAGCAAAATGCAAAGTCATTTGCTGCTCTTGCTGGACACTCACTTGAGGGAATTTGGTTCTCTATTTCAGGAATATTCCCTGGCCTCATTTTTGGCTTCTCTCACGGACAAGCTGGTGGGAACTGTATGAAATTGTTTTTTGCTCATAGGTATGGTGTGGTGGGAGGTACCACTGCACCTCTCTGTCTGTGGATTTCAGGACTTTCAGGTGAATGTTTTGGGCTTCTGCTGCTGTTTATTGAGAGGCTCTAGTCAAATTAACTAGATGAATATAGAGTCAAACAGGAGCAGGAAAATCATAGTCGGTCTTATTTAGTCTGTGTCTCCACATCAGACATCTGTATTTTTGCTTACCGGTGAAAAGGTCTTCCCTGGTGCTGAGTCCAGACTAGTTCCTGCTCATCCAGCAGAGAAAGGGGCTCTGAGTATTGCGTTCTGGAGACTTTTTCCTTGCCTCGTTATGTCAGTCCTAGCAGACTGATGGTTAGTATTTATATTTAGTTTCCCATTCCCAATTCTTGCACCTTCTCGTCTTTTCCAGCTGTGCAGGAAAAGTAAATAACAGAGCTGAATTTTTCTCTGAAACGTTTCACCCATATTGCTTCATAAATCTGGGGAAGTTTCAGTAGTGAGAACTGTCATTTAGTTTCTAAAGCACATGGATGGGGTTAGGACCTGTTTATATGGGGAGGCTATTGCAACAGCTGATTTTACTAACTCTGATTCTGCTAACACTTGAATGCATCTGTTTCCAAGAATGAATTAAGAAATGCATCCTCTTGCAAAATAATTGCTGTTGGATGTCTGGATGAAGCTGCGGTATGAGGCAGGGGCAGGCTGGGCATGAACAACTGCTCAAGTGCCACCTTCTGCATGGGCTGTGGTTTGCAAATAAATCCCTAATGTGCTATAGCTCTTCTGGAGTATTTCCTCAAATATAAAGCCTAAATATGAACTTAGCCACTAGATCTGTGTTTCATTATCAAGGTAAGTTAATTAAGCCCATTAAAACTTGTCTAGATTGCCTGTATTTATCAGATGAGTATTTCCTAACCCCTGAAGATCAAGTTGCAAAGCTTTGATATGTTGGATGAGTCCAGTGCTAATTTACCCATTGTTTTTAATTAGTTGAAATTATTTTCTGGCTTGCTGCTTTGCTGGTTCACATGGGTTTTTAGCGTACTTTAAAGAATGGGGAAACGTTGACTGAAGCAAGAGGTAATGATCTGTAGAACTTTAGATCATCTGCAGTTTGTGTTCCCCTTAGTTGCTTTGCCAGGGAGGCTTTATTCCAGTGGCAGTAAACCAGAGGCAGAAAGGTATGGTTTCTTCTGCACTCTTCCCTTTTTCTTCCCCCAAAAGTTCATCTTGCTGCTGGCTTTTTAAAAGCACTGCATTAGCTGGGATGCTGTGAAATAAAAGGCGTGTTTTAAATACGGATGCTGGTGATAGTCCTTTCAAAAGCTGCATTTCTCAAGCTGGGAGCTATTGACCCCTTTCAGTGCAGTCACAAAGAAAGCCAAGAGGAAATGGAGGGTGAGGGCCAGCAGGGAATATATATATATAATTTTTTTTTTCCCCAAGTCATCGTCTTACTCCACCCCCCACCAGGCTGGCTATTGTCTGAGACTCCACACAGGATACCAGTTGCCATATAAGGAAAATGGCATCATGCTACATTCTTTCTAAAAATTGATTTTTTACAGTTGCCTTCTTTCTTGCTGAAAGTTGTTCTGGTTTTGTGTGAGACTTGGGCTCGAGGAGAGCAGTAGCCTCCAGAATGCATGTGTACAGCCTTGGTCTGCTCAAAGGATTTCACTTTGGCTCCTTTACTGCAGTTTGGGTGATTAGGCTAAGCAGCAGCAGCAGTAGTAAGTGAGGTTTGGGTATTATGCTAGGAGGAAAGGATGTTGCTGTGAATTTTCCTGCATCTTGTGCTCAGGAATAATCCTCCTTACCTTTTGATTTTTCTTGCTTAAGAGTATGATCAGGCAGTGGGACAGAGGCATGTAGTGTCCCCTCTGCACCCCTCTTCGTTTGCAGTCTACAGTTATTATTAAGTTAGTGTTTCCAGTCCTGATGCAAGCACACCTGGACTCTTACAGCTCCATCCTGCCTTTTGTTCCCTACAGAACTGGCCCTATCTTGGTGCTTCAAACTGAGAGATCTCTTTCCACTAGTATTTCTATGATTTGTAGTCCAGAGCTGGGGGAAGAAAAGGTGCTGCTGAACTGCTGCTTCCTTGCCTCCCCTTTGCTTGAAAACACAGTTTATGAAACTGTGCTAATTCTTGTTGCAGTTTGTTAGCTGGGGACGTGGGGCTGCAGAGACAGGCGCCTCCACCTCCCAAGCTGTCCTTTGTTCATTCCTGTGGGATGCGCTGCAGCAGTTTGGGCCACCCACACTGGACTTCCTCTGCTCTGTCTAGCGACAGACTCCACCGATGGGGACTACCATAGACCACCTCTCCCCAAAGGCAGCTAAAGCATTTGAGCACACAGGTAGAATCGTTATGTGCAGCACTATTTTAGAGGCTAAGGCTTGTTTTGTCTATGAAGAAATAATCTGAAAGGGGTTTTGGGTGTTTCCACAGTGAGCAGAGGTGGGTCAGAACATGCCTGGTCTTGGAAATCTTTCTGAGGTTTAGTTTTTGTTTCCTGGGGCAGGAGTTGCTTGCTGATGAAGAAAAACTGCCCGATCTGAGGAAACAAGTCCTAACTCCAAACAAAGCCACTTAGTGGCTTGTGCTGTAAAAAAACAGTCAGAGCATCATCAGTATAAATAAGGCTGAATCCCCTGACTCTGGGAAGCAGAAGTTGAGCCTGAAGTGGGAAAGTAGAGGTCTAGGAGCTGGGAATACAGCCAGTTCTTGGAGAGGAGCGTGAGCATACGCATATGTGTGCTGAAAGGTTGGGGATGCTTCCCCTTGGAACTGGGATGCAGACGTTAACGCTGCTCCCTATGCTTGCCAGCACTTCTGACTTCCTGTGGTGCACTCCCGATTGGTTCTCCCTATAAAAATCTATTGAGGTACTGATATGTTGCAGACCTCTTAAAAAACAGACAAAAAAACACTGCCCTCTTAGAAATAGCAGCAGCAAAGTTGGGAGGGTTCATATATAACAATCATGTTGTGATACTCAATGTGTGTTATGCTGTATGATTACAGCAGTGGAAAAAAAAGGAAAATACTTTCTATTAACACTTTTCTGCAGAAAATGAATTGTTTGATATTATTAAGAACTGTGTATACTTTCGGAAATTTTTTTTTTCCTTTTTAAAATGTTGAATAACTGGGCAGCCTTTAAAGAAACGGCAATTTTGTGAAAACAGAATAAGGACTTTTTAAAAGATTCAGTGTTTTTTATAAAAGCCTGAAAATTGAGTCTACATTGGCCAGAGGAAGCAGATGATAATTACACTAAGGGAGTTCTAATTTTCTTTAATTTCTCTTTAGACTGTGAATTGAATTGTTTGGGGAAGCAGTGCTACTCTCATATCTCTGCAAAATAAGTCATCAAAACAATCTTCCCTTATGGTAAATTCTGCTTTTACTAAAGCTACAATTGTGGAAACTTCCTGAGCTTTACTAAGATGCTGGAGTGTGCACCAATGTAGAAGCAGCATGTCCTCATCTAGTTTTTTATTTCACAAAGAATAGGTTTGATGACTCCCAAATACTGTCTACTGTGGTTTCAAAATGAGATGTCCCTCATAGCCAATGGTGTGGAGCCATGCTCCTTGTGCTCTCTTCTCACATTGAGAATGAAATGGCTAACGTTTTTTGACACTTAAATGATTGTCATTGAACGTTTGAGTTAGCATCCATTGAGATAAATGGGACACTTTGCATTTCTCACCCAAGAGCTGTTGTTTCAAGCTCTCTGCAGACCCTCAGGCCTCCTTTGGTTACAGTCCACTTGCATTTATAAGGCTCTCTTTGTAAGTGTCAGCCAAAGATGGTATGTTAATTGTGTGTACTTTTATAAGTGAAAGATAAGCCTA